CTAATTCCCTTAGAAGGCAAAGTCAGTGCTAACAGCAGTGTTTCCTACAGTACCTGCCAGGAGGAGTGTCTACCAGGATGACAATGTCCCCATCCACAGAGCCCATGTGGTTGCTGAATAGTTTGAAGAGAATGACACAGATGTTAGCCATTAGTCATGGCCTTCTCAGTCACTAGATCTGAACCTGATTGACCTCTTATTGGAAATTCGGGAAAAATGTCTGAAATAGTTTCCCACAGCCATCAAACAGGGTTTGGCTTTGTTATGGAAGACAGGTGCAGAACAATTCCTGACCCTAGCAGACTGCAGGCTGTACTGGCCATACGTAGTGGCACCATGCCCCATTAAATGATTTTACATTTACATTGGTGTTTCCATTTTTGTCCGCTATCTTTAGGTAGGGATCTTAGTAGGAAACTGTGCATTCCAATGAATCAACAGCAGTATAAAAGTGTTTATAACCAATCTCTAATTATATCAAGTGAGAAAAAAAGTGAAACTGATCAATATTGCTGTTATAAAATAACTTTACATTATCCCACCATTTTGTACTCATCCAGACTGATATGTTCTGTAAAGAAAAGTGTAACATTAACTACAAATGACTATACACAACACATTTTCTATTGTTTCCAAAATACAGCATACGCATATCCACGAAATACAAGGCATTAAGTTTGATTTCACAGCAGTGAAACTATTCTGTAAATGAAAATTAAGCACACAAAGTAACCCAAATCAAATTGTGAAAGCTAGGTTACGGATGTATGCGACTTCATTTTTGTGCGTGCTGTTGATATAGCTACAGAATGAGATTTTCAGACATGCATTACAAACACTAATAGCTTGCACTTGCAGAAGATGGTTATCTACCAGGGTGCAGAGATGGCACAAGAGACAGAATGAGAAATAAAACAAGATAATGTGCATTTTACAATCTCAATGAGAGAGACCAAAAGGCTGAGTTTGTGCTTTGCATCAGCAGCAGGTGTAAAAGATGATTAAGGGCATTTTTCCTGTTGAAACAGCAAACCCTAAGATAATGTGATAAGCACTGCCTTTTGAATCTTTTCCATAAATGATTTATATCACCAGCTGTTCGCTCAAACACATCTCCAAAAACATCCTGTCTCTATATGCACTTTTCAAAATGTGTTTGTGTAACTGGCAAACATAGATGTGCCAGAAATCAATTCAGGTATGTTTTTTTCTTTGAACTGAAAGATACTGTTCTGAAAGTAAACACTAAGAAATGTAAAGAATAACTCAGTGCTTAACAACGGGCATAACAAGCCTACCCTATTACAGCCGTTATGTCAGCGACGGTTCCCATCTCCTTTTCCTATCACTCACCTCTGAGCCCCTGCAGATCCAGAGATAAAAATGGATTCAGACACTAATTTGTGCATCTGGTGTAAAATTACTTCTAGATGCCACTGTATGCATACTTTTAACTTCACAACTTAAAGCACCAAAATGAAAGGCAATACAATTATAGCTGATAACTTTACTGGCAATTGCAAACACGCAAATTAATTACTTTATTGGAGTACCATATAATAATTAATGAGGCCTTGGGACGGATAATATAAATAATTTACTCCCTGTAGTAGAAGGAACTATGAGAGGACGCTCGCATTTTGGGCACTGTATTCCGACGTTGGTAGGCATGTCAGGCACTGAAAACAGCCAGTAGAACAGTATTTCACTGACATGAAATCCAGAGGCAAGATTCCTGTTCAGAGAAACTAAACTCCGACTCAGCATCATTGAATAAACAATCTTCAGTCTGACAAATGACTAATAACTGCTTTACTTTTAGAATTCTTCGTCACGACTACACATACTGTACATTAACCGCGTATGAACATATGTATATGTATATGCACATATACTACAAATTTATACTGTATATTAATGTTATAAATATATCATGCCTATTATAGTACATGAAGTATAATACGTGTGCCAATTGCGGCTGTATTTTCATAATCCTGCGCGAAAGACTTATTTTTTTTCAGTTTCGAATTTCACTTAGAAGTACAGTACTTTATGACGGTCTTGTACTCACAATACGTAATATCTCGTTAATGCTTCCCATCTGAAAAATATTATTATACTGCCACTATTGACAAAATGTATCCTTTGAAAGATGGAATATAATCTACAAGTGGATACCCTCGTTAGTTGTTTCAGGTGCCTAAAAGCTATTTAATGTGAAGTTTATCATTCCTTAATGGTTTTATTCTAATCGAGCCAATGAGAACTCCATTTATTTTTATAGAGATACGGTAATTAGCCTGCTTACCTTTGGTCCACATCCTTTAGGATTTTCATATATATTTTATGGGAGCCCGCTAAATTAGAATCCATTTGAAATGAACAGAAGCGCGTCCTCCGAAGTGCCGCAACTAGAAGAAGTAGTGACTACATTTTCGACCTGTTTTGCGCGTGGCTTCGTTTATCATTTCCTCGAAATCATACACGCAATACTCCGCTCTTCTTCAGATCAGCTCATTGCGCGATTCCTCAGGTAGACAGGCGCTACTGTACTTGTGGAGTTAGGAATAATCCCGAATAATAGTCTCCCCAGCGCCAGCTCTACACCTGTGGACGTTGTCCAATCTGTTAACACGGCGAACCGGCGAGAAAGCGCTCGCACAGCGAGCGACCAAGATCAATCAACAAGACGCCCGAAGCTTTGCAGTTTAGTATCGATGCCTTTCACAGCACGACTACTGTATTCTGGGCTCTTGTCCTCTTCCCACCAGTCTAAAGCATAACACCAGGGGGCACCTTTTAGCCAGCCCGATCGCCGCCCATCTAACATAAAAAAATATTGCAACTTCAGTAACTT